AACTAGGTTATTCTTTCTTGATACAACTTTTTAGTACACAGAATTTCCACAGTCACTTTAAACTTGACAACCTTTATAACACACCCTATAAATCACAGTGATTCACACAACTTTACTTACGGCGCCTACTGTTCGCTTGACTCAATTATTTCTCTCTTTAATCTATCTGCCCATCTCGCCGACTTTCTTTGCCAGGCTTATATATTAGAAAAACGAGGGCGCCTCGAACAAACTTAGTTTCCAGGAAAATTCATGATCCTTCTAGAAATTCCAGCGCGCATGCTCCCAGCGTTGCGTGACTCCCGCTGTCGTAACAATATACATATTTTATGTCTCGGATTCGCATTGGCCTATGAGTAGCGTGAACGACGTCTTGTAATTGATGGGATTGATAAATAATCGGTGCGAGTGAATACTTTCTTTTTAACGTTCTGAAAATGTAAATTTACCCTCTGGATTTTTCAGCTGGATATTTTTCTTTTTAATCGTATTACTAAAAACTGGAAAATTTCCTGTTCTTTTTGGGATAAGTTGAGTGTGGGCCAGTAGTTAGCATACTGAACTATCGATCTGTGGGGCAAACGTTTGCGCCCCGTTACTGCAACATGATAATAATCGCGTTTCACACTTTGGGGCCATAGGTGTGTTATAAGGGTGACGATCAAATCCAACTATTCGGTCTGGTAAGATTTTGTGATGGATGCTACTGACTTCTATATGCCTAACAGTTGAAAATTGAGGAGGACGATTGTCTCAGATACGTCTTGAGTAACTTTGCGCGAATATTCGAAAACAAACTAAGGAAAATAATTAATCCGGAACCAAAGTAATTCACTCAACATCAACTGTATTATAAAATCAGTATGACCGTGAGTTTCCTGTACAGAACTTGGAAGTGTAGAGCGATTATAAGACCCAAATATATAAATACACGAAAGTGTTGAAAACGTGTTTTGCATTAAAAATTATAAATTTATAGTGAAATAATTCACTGTTATCAAAATAAATGTATCTATAACTAGCCGCGACCCATAAAATATTTGCCGTAGTCCTTATTCTATCATTTTCATGCACAATATTTAAGCTACTCTTTCTTGCAGGCATTATGTGTTAGGTCGATAAATCCTGGTGTTTTTGAAAAAAATTACGCGGTCAGACAAACTCACGTAGATTTAACTTTATTTAATAAAACTACACGTAAAGTAATGGTATTTGTAATAATGTACAGAGTATGAAACAGTTATGAGCGTTCAGTTTATGACACGGTTTCGTGAGTTAAAACGAAGAATAAAACCAGTATTAAAGAAAAATGTAGCTAAAAAGTATTTATGGCAGTCTATGAAACGGAACTGAAGCTAAATTATTGTCAAGTTGTAATGAAGGCAAACTTAGCTGAATATACTGAAAGAAACGTGTATATTTTAGACCTAAATAAATCGAGAAAGTCTAGAGAAATTGTATTTAGTGTAATGATATTTTTTG